AATTTAGGTGTTCAGGCTGACGTAGAACTAACTGGTCTGCAGAAGATAATGAAAAACCCCACAGATTTTAAGATTTTTTTTTTTTAAATAGACATTTTCTAAATTTTGGGATAATATTGTCTGATAAAGAGAACATTTATATACATGTTTAAGCCAGAATGATTTGACATTTTAATATGATTTCCCTACAACTTTAAACAGAGGGGTTGGACTCAGATTCCAGCTTTCAAAAACCTCCAATGCAGCGATAGAGTTGATTCCTTCCTGCTATCATCGCAGCCCCAACCCCTTTACAGGGGAGCAGAAGACCTCCCCTGTTCAGCAAAGGCCAAAAATTCACTTTAACGACCCCCTTTCAGAGACATAGACAGGTATTGGGTATTAGAGGATAACAAAGATACAAAAGAGCCCCCATTCCTAAGGGATGAAGCCCTTCATCCGTTTCTATTTGCATGTTTTCTAAGCAAAAACCAGGCTTTGTTGGGCTGCTGGATAAAACCTGGAACTAAACGCTATTTCTGACATTTTGAATTGAAAAATCTTCCTGGATGGAAGAGAAACGTCTTCAAACTTGGAAACAAAGTCCAGTCGATTTTTTAAAAACATTTTTGGAATTATTATGACCTGGATGACAGAATCCTCACCAGCATTTAGGTTGAGGATCCTTTGCTAATGTTTGCTAACTACAGCTTTGAAAAAAAAACAGTGTTTTGATTTGTAATGCAGCCGATGAAGGTTACAGCCTCAAACATGTTGGTCTGACACTGAAGTTGGTTCCAAGAACTTTAAGTTTTCACTTCATCACATCTTTGACCCGGTCATGCATTTTGAAAGGAGGTGAAGTTCTGCCAGAAACCTTTGGATCTCCTTTTAAACGTTTTTTTTTTTGTGTGATTAGTACCAGTAATTAAAACAAACCCAGCTGTTCATGTCGTGGTGAAATTTGTAAGCATGGAGAGTTTCTTCCTACATTCCACTCTGAGACCAACTTTCTACAGAAATAATAGAATAAAATAGAATAGTAAATCCCTTTATTTTCCCACAATGGGGAAATTGTGGTGAAAAGTTAGAAACCTGATTGAATATTTCAGCTAATTTGTTCTAATTCCCATAAACATTGCTACACTTATTGTTTAATAAATTAAAACCTACTGAGCAGCATCGCAACCTGAGAAAAATCAAAGATATAGATTGACTAGATGCATTCAGCATTCAGACATAAGTTCATAAAACAAATGCAGAAAAGAAATGAGTTTATCCACAGCAGGCGTTTACCTCGATCAAGGCTGAAATCCCAAACCGTCCATCCTGCATCCGCCGTCTTCAGTTTCAGGAATCAGACTGTTTGATTGTAACTCAAGACGGTGCTTAATATGCTTCAACTGCGGAAATTTAATAAACTGTTCTCCAAACATGGTCTCCCGGCAACCGATGCGAGAACCTGTGTGACGCAGTTTACCGTAGGATATGTGGGAGAATCACTGAAAGATGGAGAGGAGACGACTTTGCTGCAGAGCCCAGAAATATCCAACATACTTTTGTTTATCTTTAGATAAATATGAAAAATAAAAACACAAAGATTTTTCAAACACTTGTTTAATTCCTGCAGTAAATACATGATGGGATCCAAACTCTGCAAATGTGGATCCAGTTTGGGTCAAAAATTTCAGATCGATAAACGATAATAATTCTTCCTGAATTTACTTTTATCATCACTGCTTTGATTTTATAGTTTTATTACTTCATAAATGTTCGAATCTCTTTGAAAGAAATAGAGCAAAGTAAAAAAAAAAGAAGTAAAATATAGTAAACTATTTGAAATTAAAGTAATATGAGATAAATAAAAAAATAAAAAAAACATATTGGCTAAATAGCCTATAGGAAATATGCTAAAGTGAAATATTATATTAGAGATCCTATTAGCTACGGTAAGAAAATGTCAAATATGCAAAGTAAAGATTAAAATCCAATAATCAAGATTATATCATTAGTATTAGTAACATAAAGCTAAGGTAGTAAACTCAGCTAATTTAAAACGATAAAATAAACTTAATGAGGTTAATCCAGAAGCTCAAAAATGAAGTACAACAAATTAAAAAAACATTAGCATGTCTATTTAAAAAAACAATCAAAATAATAAGCAAAATTGAACAAACTGATGTAATGTAAAAGGAAAACGAAAGTTAGGCTAAGCTAAATAAAGCTAATATAAGTTAAGGTTATTCAAACAGCGCTTATGCTAAAATTAAACCAAAATCAAATACATTCAGGTAAAATTAAGTAAAAAAGGGATTTAAAATGTGATGAAGTATGTTTCAAAAATGCTAAAATAAGAATCTAAGCTGCACTAAAAAGCTACAACAATTAAAGACGAGAGAAACTAAGATAAAGTCAGCTAAACCAAGGTAGGGTCAAATAATCCAAGATTAGATATGCTAAGCTACACTATAAGCTTAATTTAATTTAGGCTGCGCTACTAATCTAAAATCTAAGCTTAGAAAAACTAAGAAAAAGAGAAATAAGTTCAGAAAAAGCTAATCTACAACTCTGAGCTTAGCTAAAGTCGGGCATTCAGTGTACGATTTTTCCACTTGTTTCACGCAGCTACAGCTACCACTGTACGACAAATCCGCAGGATTTAAAAGTTCCCAGCTTACGATGTTTGTGCTCACACTGTGCGACCCAACGCTTTAATGCGATCTGTCTGCTCACACTGTACGTCTAAAAACCAGGTGGGACTCAGCCCCGCAGTGAGATGGCGCTACTCCGACTCGTCTATCCGGAAGCCAAACGAGTAGAAGAAGAACATGAAGCTCACTAGAGTGAAACGCGCTGCCTTGGAAATTTGGGCAATTTTGTGCTGAAAGCCCTAAAAAGCAAAGGAGACGACGTATTTGGACAAAGACGTGGCTGAGCTAACGTGGCTACTACGGTCTGTCAGTTTACAGAAAGAACTGCATTTCACTCATTGCCCCCCCGCCATGCTGCTGGGTTTTCCTCTGAGAGGAAGAAGAAGAAGAAGAATCCTTGTTTGGACACTGAGCGATTTGCCCACGGCCACCTCACGACGGCCGACTGAATCTCAAACATGTTTGATTTTCTCCCAACCTTATGATTCCTGATGGGGAGGTGGTCGTTAGAGGCTGATCGCCCCTCGTTACCCCATGTTCACTACACCACGCACCATCAGGCTGAAAGCCGGCGCGATCGGAAAATGATCGTATAACTGGAAAATCGGCAAAAAAATCGTACAGTGTACGCCTGGCCAAAGGTATGCTAAGCTAAGGTAAATGAAGTTGAAATAAGGTAAAACAAAACAAAAAAAAAACTCATACAAACTAGTTTTAAAAGATAAACAAACCAAGCAAATGTTATTTAAAAATCAAACCAGGGTTAAAAAATACTGTCTAAATATAAAATAGATAAGATGCAATAAAAACCTTTATATAATAAAAAAAATAGAATGTATGAGATGTATCAGAATAATGTATGTGAAAAGCAATATTCAAGACAAGTCAGTTGGAATTAAGAAAAAGTTTAGAGTAACTAAGGTTAAGTAAGTTATGCTAAGCTTAATTAAACCTAATAAGCTCTATAGCACATCAAAAAATAATCAAACTAATGAAGCACAAACTTAGATAATCTAACTAAATGAAATAATTCTAAAGAAAAAATGTTAGATGAAATAAGATAAAGTTAAGATTAATGAAGATCAATTATTAGAGAATGACCTTTGTGTCACGGTCTTGGTTCTGTTAAAGGTACACTATGCAACCGGTGTTGATTTTCCAGCGAGGCTCTCCCTAGAGGGCGAAAGTAAAAGTGCACTATCGTAAATATGCTCAGCTGTTCTCCTGATTCTCCGTCAAGCCAGGCGCGGTTGTTTTGAGCTTAGCAGACAGGCGAACGCAACGAATCACCATGTCTACTGCGCTAAGTGACGTATTTTGTTCCAATTTTCGAGTTTGAAAATTTAGCATGTTTTCATACATTTACAACTGCACAAATATCGCCACTGCGCTAGCAACGAGGATGCCTTTCACTGGGGGCGTGTAGGAGTTCTTGCCGTAAAGCAAGACCGACTCTCGCGATGCACGAGACTTCTGAGCCTGTGGGTGCGGGCCGAGGGCTCCTGCAATTGCAAGTACGGTATTTCCTCTACAGACCACCAGGGCGGCCGAGAAAACCTTTGTTCGACCTGAAATGACTCATTTAATCATCCAAAACGTTATGGAACACATTAATTAACTGAAAGATGTTGCATAGTATGCCTTTAAGTTTTTTTTTTTGTTTTCAGTTTTATTGGTTTAATTTCTATTTTGTTGTGTTTTTTGGATGTATTTGAGTTCTTAGGTATTTCTTTGTTGCCCTCTTGTATTGGTCCCGTTTTCCCTAGATCCTTCTAGAATCCTCTGTTCACACCCCCTCTCCCAATCAGCTCGTTAGTCCTCTCTTTGTTCAGTCGGCCATAAATACTCTCCCTGTGCAGTTCCTCAGTGCTGGCTCCTCATGATTGTTTTCCCTGATGTATCCATGGTTCTGGTTTGTTTAACATTTTTAAGTTGGATTTTTGGATTCCTACCTGTAAACATTCAATTAAAACTGCAAGAACTCACCTCTGCCTCCCTGCCTCTGCATTTGGGTCCTCAAAACTCAACCAAACCCTGACAATTTGGTACAATGTTTCTAGTAACTATATGACTAACCAAAAAAAGCTAATTAATGCTAAGTTAAGACCGTGTAGAGTAACAAGTATACATTTATTAAGGTAAAAAAGTAGATAAAACATAAGCGAGTCATTTGATTTAAATCTGTTTATTTTTTTAATAAATCAGCTGTAAAAACAAATCATTTGGAAATTATGAAGTTCAAGTAAAAAAACATTTCTTCCCTTCTGTTAGACATTGGGAGTCCAACAAGAGTCCAATCATGGTATGGGTTTCATTTTGTTTAATTATTGACGAACATTTATTTGTTTCATTCTTTTTAAAAAGAAATATGCTGTAAACTCTTCAGAGTTTATCAGACAGAATCACAGATAAATGACAACTTCA